TAGATAATATTCTGGTTTCTTTTTGAATACTCTCTTCAGGATTTTTTGTGTCTCTTCATGCACCATCAACCAATACTTCCCTATTTCTTTGCATGTCCACCACATATGGTAAAAAGTACCTATCTGTTGACAACCTTTCCAACACTTATCATTTCTTAGGAGTGGTATACCATCTGTGGAACATTTTTATCCAGTTTTCTTTTAAATCTGTTGCATAAACGTATTTTAGTTTTTTATTCCACATCTGCTCCCACTCTCTACATTGAACAGGTCTTCTTATATTTTCTGCCCATTTTATCATACATGGTTTAACTTGTTCACACTCCGTTAGCCAGGTTAATAATGTATTATAAATGACTGAGATTACTTTTTTCTTCACCTTCAGGATCTTGTCCCAAATTGTTTCTTCCCAGGCAAAGCCTATCTTATTGTCTTGTTTAATATACTACTTCATTTGCAGGTAATGTAACCATGCCATATTCACATTTGTTTCTTTTATTTGCTGAAAGGATTTAATCTCAGTAGTGTTCCTCACTAGAATGTCTCTATATATTGGCCACACTCTCCAACCTAACAATCTTCTTTGATGTGCCTCCATCGGTGAGACCCATAATGGTGTTTTGTTATAAAAATATTTCTTATATTTCATCCAAACTCTTAATAGTGATGCTCTTACAAAATGGTTTCCAATTTTTTTTCTCAATCGTACCACGTGTAGGCATGCCATCCTATCCGTAAGTCGTGTCCTTCTAGGTTCAAGCCTTTTTCATTTTCTAATGTCATCCAATCTCTAATCCATAAGAGAGCACATGCCTCATGGTATGTTTTCAGGTCAGGGAATCCTAATCCACCTCTCGTTTTTTATCAATTAAATTCTGGGTCTTTTCCCTTTCCAAACAAATTTCAGTAATTCTTTCTTCCATTTTTTGAAATCTGTTTGATTTCCAATTATGGGTATATTTTGAAATAAGAACAATAATTTTGGTGAAACATTCATTTTTATAAGCAAGATCCTTCCTAATAAGGATAGTTTCAGGAAGTTCCATTTCTTCAAATGCTTCTGTATTTTATTCCAAGTCAACTCATAATTCTTCTTCAGAAGCTGGCTGTTTCTTGCTGTCAACCAGATCCCCAGGTATCTTATTTTCTTTACTATTTCCATTCCTGTGGTCTTTGCAATTTTCTCTTGTTTTTCTTTCCCTACATTCTTAGTTAGTATCTTAGTTTTTCCTTTGTTCATTTTGAAGTCTGCCACTTTTCCATATTCTTGTATTTTCCCAATCCAACTCTGCAAGTTGTTTATTGGGTCTTCCACTATTCCCAAGATATCATCTGCGAAGGCTCTAATTTTGTATTCGGATTTCCCAATTTTCACCCCTTTGATATTCGTGTCTTCTCTTATTTTCATCATCAATTGTTCTAAAGCCATTATAAAAATTAAAGGGGATAATGGGCAACCTTGTCTTGTTCCTTTTGTGATCAAAAACTCCTCCGATAGTTGGCCGTTTATCCGAATGTTGGCTTTTTGCAGATCATAAATAGCGTTAATTGCATTCATGAATTTAGCCCCCATATCTAATTCCTGGATCAATATCTTAAAGAAGTCCCAATTCAAGTTGTCAAAAGCTTTTTCTGCATCAGTTGATAACATGGCTACTTCTTTATGGAGATTCGCCTCGAAATATTCAATCAAATCTAAAGCTGTATGAATATTGTCTTTCATATATCTTCCCGGGAGGAACCCTGTTTAGTCCTCCCCTATCCATTCGTTCAAAAATTCCTTTAATCTCATCGCCAATATATTCGTAAATATTTTGTAATCCACATTTAACAGGGAAATCGGTCTATAATTCTTAATGTCCTCCAATGATGAACCTTCTTTATGTATCATTATAATCTCCACTTGGTTCCAAGCTTCTGGGATTCTTTGGTAAATTAGTGCTTCATTTAAGACTTTTTTTAACATTGGTACTACAGTTTTCTTCATTGACTTGTAAAAACCTGCTGTAAATCCATCGGGGCCCGGGGCCTTATCTGCATCCATTTTGTTAATTGCTTTTTCTATTTCTTCTACAGTAATTTCTTTATTCAGTTTTTCCCTTACTTCTTCTGAGATTTTTTTGTAATTTCAATTGGCTTATATATTCTGTGATGTCGTCTTTCTTTATTCCGTCCTTCATATATAATTTGTTATAAAATTCCTTAAATTCGCCCATAATCTCCTTGTCTGTCATAACAACTCTGTCTTCAGTGTTTATTTTTGTTATTTGTGCACTTTGCTTCTTCTTTCGTACTTGTCTTGCTAACCACTTCCCGGATCTATGTATTGAAATTCCACAAATGGAACTCCCTACTTCTTTTTCTTCTCAAAAAAGTCACTGCAGGAATCCTAATTTGAGCTAGGACTGTGAAAATTGATATTTTAAACTTTTTCTTCCAATAAGTTTATTCAACAAAAATAGACTCCTATTTCCAAGGTATTTTATTGTCATTGACAGAAAATTGGTATACTTTTGCCACTTTGATGAGCTCAATACCCAGGAATTGTTATATAATATAACCAAGTATTTGCTAATTAAATTATTTACTATTACTGTTTTGCACGAAAACAAGCTGTATTGTGTGAATAAAAATAGAGTTCTCTGGAAAAACTACTGCATAGACTTTCAATCATTATGAATATAAACAGCACATTTTTAATAGTTCCAAAATCATTGTCTTTATATGCCCATAAAAAGGCTGTAGGGTGTTGAAAATAAAACAGTTATTGTAATAAGAACTTTCAAGTTTATTTTTAAAACAAGAATTCAACAGTTAATTTTAAAAACAAGTGGGAAGAAGGGAGGAATATTTTTAATATCATTTTTATTAGTGAATGGACAAAACAAACAAACAAACATATAATGACATCACACTCATCTTGGATAAAAAGTCATTGACATGACTACGAAAAATTATTTCTATACAGCAAAAGTGGGTGAACATGATTAGAAGACAAAAGAAAAAAGAAAAAATAGAGATACAGATTAGGAATTAAGAGGGGAAGGATAAGGGGGAAAAGAAAAAAAGAAAAGAGAAGAGAGAAAAAAGAAGAGGGAGAGAAAAAAGAAAAATAATAATAATGATATTTTCCTTATTTAGATAGATAGATAGATAGATAGGCCTGGGTAACAACGGAAAAATTTGTTTCTAAAATCGATTCGTTTTTTGGGGGTTTTTGCGTTTCGATATTTAAAAGAATTCCGAAATTTTTCTTTTAAAAAGTTCGATATTTACGAAATTTTTTAAATAGGTAAAAAAATTACAAAACAATAACGAAACAATAACGAATCGATTCGTTAATGGCGGACGCGATTGCGCAATGCTAAAAAACCTCCAAATGGGACAGGGGGAAACTTCTGAAGCTTCCCTCTCCCTCTGTTGTTGACTGTTGGTGTGAATTATAATTTTTTTCACTAATTAAACAAAAAACAACTATAAAACTTGCCCCAGACATGCGGAAATAATAACGAAACGACCTCAAACCAATAACGAAACGAATACATAACGAAATACGAAGCATTTACGAAACGAATTGAAAAATTCGTTTCGTTTTTAAGTTGCTCCAGAATGGTTCGTTATCGCTTCGTTAACAAAAAATAACAAATTTTTAACGAATTACGAATTAACGAAATGAAACTGCCCAGCCCTAAGAGATAGATAGAGGAACCCGTATCATATACATAAACAGTTAAACACTTATATTTCAGAGGGGAGGAATATTTGAAAGGGTTAAGATAAATTACTGTAAAATTGAGTTCAAAGTTGCAAAAGTAGTTTGTATTCTTTTATCTCAGCAAGTAAGAGAGGAAAGAAGAGGAAAGAGTAGGTTTTTCTCCTTCCAGTAGGCTCAGGTAAATGCAAACTGCTGCAGCCTCTTCTAGCTTGTATGTCCTTCATTGTTAATTAGCCTTGCCATCTTGGAACTTCATTTGACCCGTCTTCACAAGTGTCCTAGGATGTTTGCGGCACAGTGCATCTATAGAGCCCCATGCCTCCCATCACATGATGCGCACTCATCTCCGGCGGGCTCCATATATAAACTGTGCCGCAAACATCCTAGGACACTGTGTTCCATAGGCATACTTTGAATTCCTTCTTGGCCATTGACATCCACTAGGTGACTTTGAAGAAATCACTTTAGAGGAAGGCAAAAGCAGACACCCCTCTGAACAAACTATGCCAAGAAAATCCCAACATAGTTTCACCGTAGTTTATCCATAAGTAGAAAGAACTTGAAGACATACAAAAGCAAAGCAAACTTTAAATGTAACTGAATAATAATGTGGGGTGATATCTTTAGCCCTTATACAGTTCAGTGAATTAAAATTTATTCCCATCATTTCTTGTTACTGCAGCTCCTATATGTGTGTGTGTGCGTGTGTGTTTGTGTGTTCACTGAACAATGTACACAGAGTTTTTAACCTGCTGTTATATAGTATTCTTGCACGTTGATGATGAGATAAACCATTTTGTAGACAGACTATCCAGCTAGCTAGATAAGTGAAAATAGGGAGTGAACACAGGTTCATTTTAATGTCCCACATGTCTTTACATTAATGAACCATAGTTGTATTACACAATATTATTACCAATTCTCATTGTAGATAATTTGCCTAGTTTTGTATTTATCTGAGTTCTTGCTCAGAATAAGCCACAATGGTCTAGTTCTGCTCATGGTAGATCCTTACTTTTGCATAGTAAAAATTAGAATTTTTTTCATATGCAAAGCATTTACCATCACTTAGCTCTTATGTAAGGGTGACATGGAATATTACATATTATTTCTGTGATAAATTTCTTGAAAGAGCAGAAAGTTGGGATATGCAGTCACAAGAGTGGCCAACTTCTCTTAGTCTTTCAAAGAACTTTCATTTTATCTTTGTACTGGTGTGATCTGAGATCTTGCTATCCATTTTTTGAATAGTCTTAATAACTTTTATGTTTGCTTTCAATTTTAGCTCCCAAACTTCATCAACACTACTCTCCCTCCACATGAGCAGGTGACAGCACAAGAAATTGACAGTTATTTCCGGCAGGAACTCATCTACAAGAGGAATGAAAGAATGGGGAAAAGAGTGATGGCTCTCTTAAGAGACAACAGTGACAAGAGTTTCTTCTTTGCCTTTGGAGCAGGTTGGTTCCTAAATACATTATTTTGTTGACTTTCTTAACCACACACAAAAATAGCTCTATTTTTTTCCCTGAAACAATCACATTTTGAAATTCCACCTCACCATTGTCCATCTCCTCCCAAGTCCCAAAGTCCAGAACTGAGTTCTAACTTGTGCTGATTACCATCTGGTCAAGTGGACATCAACTCGAGTTTGCGACCTTGAAATATGAATTCAATGTTCACTGAAGCATTTACCCTAGACCAGGGGTCCTCAAACTTTTTAAACAGAGGGCCAGGTCACAGTCCCTCAAACTGTTGGAGGGCTGGATTATAAATTGAAAAAAACATGAATGAATTCCTATGCACACTGCACATATCTTATTTGTAGTGCAAAAGTCACTTAAAAACAATAGAATAATTAAAATTAAGAACAATTTTAACAACTATAAATTTATTAGTATTTCAATGGGAAGTGTGGTCCTGCTTTTGGCTGATGAGATAGGATTGTTGTTGTTGTTGTTGTTGTTGTTGTTGTTGTTGTGTGCTTTTGGGTCATTACAGACTTAGGTTGACCCTGACTGAGGGCCGGGTAAATCACCTTGGAGGGCCGCATCCGGCCCCCGGGCCTTAGTTTGAGGACCCCTGCCCTAGACCATAGATTAATCATTGTCTCTCTGCCATAATGTTTGTACATCAATTGGAATGCTAGTGAGTTTGACTTACTTCATATAGCTACAGAGTTACTCTGAAGAGTGGTAATGACATTACTTTGTATGGGGATGTCATGAACATTACTAATACCTCACCCTTTATATTTGGACTCTAGAAAACCCAGTCAAATGTTTAAATGTTACCATCATTGCATTGGCATCATGCAAAAAAAAATTAAAAATACCATAAATGAAAAAAAATATTTCCTACCTTATTTAATACACAAAGCAATTTTATCTAAAACCAATGTTGTGAGTAGGATGTTGTGTGTTCTTTGTACTCTGCAAATGGTTTTGCATTGAACAGGATCTTTTCAGAACAAGGCATCTACATTTACTAACTTTCTGTGGGAAATCCAACTTGTGTGCATCTTCTCTTACAAGCCAGCCCAAGCATTGCAGTCACTGGTAGAAGCCCTTTCTCTCGTTCCCACCAGCCGTGCTTGGGATGAAGTTGGGACCAAGAGCAGGGCCTCCACTGATGACTGCAATGCTTGGGCTGGTTTGTAAGAGAAGATGCAATGGATCAAATAGCCTGGACCCAAGCCCCATATAGAAAGCATTGCATGGCCAGATCTGGCATCTCGAAGTATGGGCACAGCTGTTGCACAAATTTTATGGTCATTTTAAATAGTGTCATCCCTGAAAAGCCTCTTATGTCATGACAACAACCTAGCAAAGGGTTTGTATACTGTTTCAAATTATTATTGTGGTGTTTCAGAAGACAATGTAGCTCTCACACTATTTGGCTAGCATGTTGAACCCCAGGATTGAGTCTTTAAACCTAAGAGGCCTGGACTTAAGTGGACCTCTCTGAAATTAAAAGCTGCTCCCCATTGCTGTAACCATTTTGTTGCCAAGAGAAACAAGTGTTATCTCTCCTTTCCTGTAGGCTGTAAGTAGTACACAATTCTGTTCAGCCTTCCTATGGTGTCTTAAGAGGGAATGCATTAGGCACTACTTGTAATAGTGTTTGCTTCATAACAAGACCGTTGCCTGCCTATGCACTAATTTGCAGCAGACATATATGAAGCAGTGTTGTGAAACACATCCCATTAGCTTAAAGTGGATTCAGGTTTAAGTCTAGAAATGCGCCTTTTGTTAACTTTGTTGCCAAGGAGGAATTTGGAATGCCATACTCAAACAGGATCCAGAATTTCACAGCTGGCAAGTATGTTTTCATTGAAGTGAAGCAAAATGAGCAATCTTGTGTTTAGAATATTGACAGAAAATTGGACTCAAATTCAGCCGTTTAGACTTTTCATTTTGAGGAGACCTTACAATGAACTCCAACCAAAAGAGGGGAACAAGCAGGGAAAGTGGGAGAGGGGAGGATATTTTGAAACAACATATGTACTGCATGTGGGAATACACACTAGTCCCCTGTATGTATTCTGGCCTCAGTCCAGTACTGGAGTTTCCAATTTATTATATGCCTCCCATAGAGCCAACATGTTTCTACAATAGGTACAAGCCTACTTCATGCATATCCACTTAAGAGTGTCAGGTTTCTGCGATCTGCTCTGCCCTGGGAGAATGAGATGATCGCAAACAGTTGGAGTGATTCCCCCTCCTCCTTCCCAAACTCAAAACAGATGCTGTTTATTGAGCAGCATCATTTCAATAAAGTGTGGAAAAGAAAGCTGTGCAAAAAGTTTGTTCTTCTTTGGTCACAGCTAATGTAAGCCATGTTGCAAAGAAAACAAATGGTAATTCTATCATTTTTTATTGCCAGGGTATGGCATGAAAGACAAAAGGGACCCAGTGGTATGGGATCACTGATTTATCAGTCAAACAGGCTGTCTAAGTCTCTACAGTTGCCAACATTTCGTACTTCAGTCAGTGAAACAGCAGGAACACCATCCTTTTAATTGTGGGGTTGTTTCAAAACATTAATAATTAACAGCTGTCAAGATGGGAGGTTTGTGAGCAAGACATAAACCTTAAAGTGGTTTTGTAACACATCAATAACATGTTGTTGGATTATGGTTGTATCTGCCTTTTGGGTTATTGCAATAGGCTTTAAAGAGAGGAAATATGTTTAAGGTGTATATGAACTCTGGAAAGAATCAAGCTCGGTACTCTATTTTTGGTCACTCTGTTTTTCAAGGACAAGTTCTGAAAAACAAATTTCTTATGAAATTTGAATGTAATCCTTGTTTCAATAAGCCTTTTGAGGTTTCATCTACAATTGCATCTTCCAAATGCAGTGATAGTTTTTTAAAAAATGCATTCATTCTGGAGTGAAATGTCTATAGAAAATTTACATTTATGCTCCTTTGTAGCTCTCCTTTGTTTAAATGTTAGGAGCACTCATATATTTCTGCTCGAAAGAAATAAACTTAATGTAAAGAAATTACCTTTCTTTTGTGGAATTAATTTCTTGTGGAAAAAGAAGTGACCCAAATCATCCATAAATGTCATTGTGCAAAGCATGATTTTAAGCTGATTTTTTCAGCTTAAAAAGTGTAATATCACAGTCACCGATATTGTTATTCTGAAGGCATTTCATGGCATTCTATGAACTCTGTAATTCAACCTATATTTCTCTAGTGTTGTGACAGAATTTAGTTGAATTGGGGTGGATTGATGTGGAGGTAGCCAACTCCTCTGTATTAAGTTCTTCTTGTTGTGTGCTTTTATATTGTTTCTGATTTATGGTGATCCTAAGATGAACCTGTCACAAGGTTTTCTGGCAAGATTTGCTTCTCTGAGGTTGAGAGAATTTACTTGCCCAAGGTTACTCAATGCATTACTCAAGGCCAATTGGGGATTCGAACCCTGGTTTCCAGAGCTGCAATCCAACTGCACCACACTGGTTATCTCCCTGTAATTAAATAGTATATCAAAACTGCAAGCTTTCATTGCCTTCAAACCAGCTTATACACATTTTAATGTTGCAGTAGTGAACTTTGTTGTAACACAGATAGCTGCTGTAGTTACTGACAGGACCAAAAGTTGCAGACAATGTAAGTCTTGGCCAAATGAAGTCTCAACTGACCATAAGTTTTGGCAAGACTGCAACTTCAAAAATAGCAACTTCTTAATTGGTTATAATTTCTAATTAGCAGCACTGGAGCTCCAGAGATTGCAATCCTTAACAGGATCATTCCTCTCGCTCTTTTTGGCCTGTCAGGGATTCCCACCTAGGATTTTATTCTGAAACTGCAAGTGTGTAAAGACCAGTAGAACTGATAGCATTGCGAATTGCATTCTGAAATTAAATCCTAGAGAGGACTCCTATAACTTTAACTACTTAACAGATCTTGGAGCTTGATAAAGTATAATAAAACTCCATGGGATAAAGATACCTGTCCTCTTTCACTTTTGTCTGCATGTTCCTTCAATGTAGCTATTGCCTTACTGGTGGAAAGCAAAGGGACAGGGCACAGGGACATAACACTATTCTTGTCATTAGACACTCCTCTGAGTACGGCTCCAAGGTCTTAGCAGTTTTATTTCTTCCATATAGGAGTCTCCTACTACCATAGTATGTCAACAGAAAATTCATTCCTTTATCTCTCTCTTTTGCCTCTGAATCAACAATCTTGGAGAACCAGATAGCATTGCCATTTTAGATTAGATTTTGTAATATAATTGTTTTCCTTCATGAAATAAGCTATAACTGAAGATGTAAAAAAAGATTGGCTAAGTAGGATTTTGCAGCAGAGGTCAGTGGGTGCAATATAGGTCTTACCAGTCACTCATCACTTGGAATGATAGTGGCTGGAGCAACAAGGTGATGATCAGAGAAGGGGGGATAATTATCCCTCTCTCGTCTCCCTCTCTCTTTTCATTTTTGATATTTTTTGTATACAAGTGACTAGCATAAGCAAAAATTACATTGTAACATTCTAACAAATCATTTCCCTCTCACTCATGAACCCAGCACCCATGACCCCTCCTTCACCAATCTAGTACCCTGGCTGATGTCATTCCAGATGACAAAAAACTGATAGGAACCATGTTGTGTCCACTTGCAACCATGACAGTGAGAATGGGAGGGAATGGTAAAGGTGGTCATTGGACAGTCGGTGCTTTCTCCCACCTTTGCAGCTCCTAGGAGGGTTGGCGGTCTATGTAGAACAACCCTCTCTATAGATACTCAGGCAACAGACTTTAGTCTGAACCTTAAATGGGCTATCCAAGATAATAAATCAATTACACAGATAGGTTTCAGCACCTTAGCTAGTTCCTTTGAAATTCTGGCTGAAACTTGAAATGCCTTCACCACTTTGTTGGCATTGAAGTCCCAAGCCTCCCCTGTCTCTACCAGTGCTTTCACTTCTCTAATCTTCAAGGAGGGGCAT